GAAGAGAGGATCTAAGAAGAGTCGGAGTAGCGGTTCTATTCCTGCGTGCACATAATGTCAAATATCGGTCATCGGTGCTCGTCGTAGCAGTTGGCCGTCCTTGGCTGAACCTCCTAGATGCCGAATCTGTGGTTTGAAATTGCCTCCTAAGTCTGTGAACCACAGAAGGACTCGCATTTAGCCATCTGGCCACTTCTGTTTGACTTTGTCCTGCCTCTTGTCTCCCAATGGCTCTTCATCACAGTTCTGCAGGCAAATGATGCCTAGAAGTCATTGTTACGAATTGGCTATCTCAGATTTCTGATATCACTGTTACAGTGAAATATGTGGACTTGCTCTCAAACATGGACTTTTATGCTCCTCGCAGATGACGTATTCCAAAAGCAGCGCCACTAATTTGCATATTGCAGTTTTACTCAGCTACTCTTACTTGGCAACATATTCAAATTTTACATGGTTTGGCTGATTTTTGAGGAAGTTATACCTATTTTTGTGATTTTTCCTTAATTTATGATAACCAGTGTATATTATTTTTTCTTTTAATATATTATGTCGGGGTACTAAATTCAGAGTTTTCAGAACTTTTACTATTTAATATGTTTGCTACTTTATGTACTGTATATTTCATGTACTTTGTAGTACTTTTCCATTATGCACCTGCAGTGCATTTTGGTGGTACTATTGTAATAATATGTATGTGTGTATGTAATTATTCTTGTTTACACATACACAACACAATCTCCAGATGGAGCTATATGTTTAGGTCTCGTGTGTTTGGGATCTCTTTCACAGGCCTCCAAAACTGTGGATGGTTAATAATGGAAAAGTACCATTTTTAGTGCTTGTCAAATATGTACTTATGCTATACCATGAGAAAGTTTTCATATTTGAAAATGTTCAGGAAAAATTGCATTTTGATAGTTACATTTTTGGGGGGGGGATAAAAATATGCCTTTTTTTTTAGTCCATAATAGATTTCTTTAAATTTTTGGACAGACTTTTCTTAATTTTTACAATTTTTGGACAATATATTATTTATTTGTGTTACAGGCAAATGACCAGTATTTATGTTTTTATATCAAATAAACAGTAACATGCTTTCGTGCAATTAGTCTTCACAGAAGATATATGGTAATTGTTTGTAATCTCAAAAATCCTGGTTATAAGATACCAAAAATATTTTGAAATTTAATTATTTGAAAATAAATGAAAATAACAAAGAAACAGCTTAATTAATTGTATACAGTGCACTCTCTATTATCCGACCTAATACAGGGAAATAAAGTCACAGGTAATGAAAAAACGCAGATAATCCAAACTATTAAATTTTATGCCTGTTGCATGTGTTTATTTCTTTAAATCGGCAATTTTACTCTGTTTTTGAGAGTGTTTAACATTATTTTGTGTATTTTTCAAAGTGCGGTTTTATTCATTGTATTCGAATCTGCTTTGGTCGACAAAGTCCATTAGTGTTTCAGAAATCATTGCTGTCTTAGAACAAATGTAATTGTTACTATCTTGTAAGAAAATGTCTTGTATGAATATGTCACTGTATGCCTCTTCTGTTCTTGTGACATTTGAAACGATATCTATATTACTCAAGTATTGAAAGCTCAGCTCTGTTGAAATGCCATCAATCCATACCTCCAATAAGTTTTCCCAATCGACATTTTCTGTTTTTTGGTACAAATTCATTTATTGCTTTGGCTTCTTTACAATTAGATAAATCTCTTTTTTCTGTGTTAGGAAGAATCTTTCTTCATGATTGAAACTGTGTTATTGATTTTACTTTTGATTAAGCTATTAATCAAATTGGATCAATTTTAAAGAAATGACTGATAGAGAACTCAGGGAAGTGAATTTTGATCATTTACTTCTTCCGGAAAGACTAGTTTATAACTTAACAAAAGCAATTTTGTTTTTTGCTAAGGCATGCATACCACATGGCAGAGTCATAGGCTATAAGTGCTTCTGGTCCCATTAAGTGGAAGATCATAAAGAGAAATTGGATTGACTCGGAAGAAAAACTGGGCTCGCTAAAATTCAGTCTGATGTTGTTGCACGGCAAAAGCAGGCTAACTTGGTAAAAAAAGCTGTATTGTAGGCCAAATGTAAATCCTTTAAAGATTTTATTTCACATATTGATTATAAAAAGGATAGATTTTATTTCACATAAAAATTAAAAAACTTTAAGTTTATTTCTAATATCCAAAGTCGTAAACCCTTGTGTAGAAAGAATCCGATTTCCGTTGGAAATAAATTACTATCAGATAAGGCCATTGCAAACGCCTTTGGACAGTCCTATTCCCACTTCCAGCGAAAGGGAAAATATGCAAGAGAAATGTCAAGGAAGATTAATGTTGCATGAAAATGGTTAATCAAAATGCAGAATGGTACAGAGCAACTTAAGTGGGAGGCTATCTTTGATGCTCCCTTTAGTGCACAAGAATTGGAACTCGCGCTTAGACGTCTTAAAATGAAGACTCCTGGTATGGATTATATCATACAGTTTTTATCTATTTGAGCAGTGAGCCAAGAAAAACAGTATTGAGTGTCTTTAATCAAGTATGGGAGTCAGGTCAGATTCAGACACATTGGAAAAGTTTTTATCATTATAGTCTTAAAGAAAAATAAGAACCTCGGGCAGCTGAACAGCTGTAGGCCTATTTTGCTTATGAGTATTCTTGCGAAAACTATGGAAAGACTGGTGGTAAACCGCTTGAGGAATATAGAATTTTAGGTTTAGAACAGGCTAGTTTCTGAACGAATAGGTTAACGTGTGACCAGGTGACAAAATTCAGCCAGTTTATTAAAGATGCTTTATAGACAGAAACATTTTCACAGCTGTTTATATTGACTTTAAGGGGGGGGGTGATTCTGTCTGGAGAGAAAAGCTCTGCCAGAAGCTCCTGAGTATTGGTATTTCATCAAAATTATTTAATTGGGTTAGGTCTTTCACAAGTCAGAGGACATGCAGGATAAAGTTTAAAGATTCCTTCTCCAAATATTTTGATTTACAAACTGGTCTTCCTCAGGGAGCAGTCAGTAGCTGCATCTTGTTTGATGTATATATCAATGATTTAGTTTCTTCTCTTAAATCAACACCTGGTATTAATTGTCTATTATTTGCTGATGATTTGATAATTTGGACTGAAGCTCCAAAGCATAATGCAAAAAACCTTTTTGAAAGTTGATTGAATAAGGCCCTGCAGGTGCTCTCGAATTGGTGGGAAGAAAATAATATGACTGTAAGTTTGAAAAAGATAGCTTCACAGTCTTTTTTTCTAGCCCATGAAAATTTTCGCCCAGCGTTAAAGTACCAAGATACTTTGATTACCAACATGGACAACTTTACTTATTTGAGAGTTACTTTTGGTAATTATTTAAATTGGAAGCTTCATGTTGAGCAGCTTACCTACCAGACATGTTTCAAATAGACGTAGGATTTAGCAGGATGCATCTGGGGGTGTGCCCAGTCCACTCTTAACATTGCATTTAAGGCTTATATCCTGCCCTTAATGATATGCTGTTGTGAAGCTGTCGTCACTGCCCTACAATTGGTGGTTAATAAACTTTAAGTGATACAAGACCAAGCTTTTTGCTTGATTGCAGGAGCTGTTAAGTCAATATCTATCAATATGATGTTATTGTTGACAGGAAATAAACCTTTCCAGGATATTATGAAAGTGAGGTCCTTGGTTCTCTATGAAAACTACTGCGGATGGAGGATCCCTACTAGAGGGACTACGTAGTCAAGCCTAGGAAATTAAAAACCCATTATGGATTTATTCAAAAAGTCCTGGACATTAAGAAAGATATTGAGATTCCAGGTAATACAGTCAAAAGTCATTAATTCAGACACCCATAATCCGGACCTCAAAGCTACAAACTTTCTGCGCATGCGTCGCGCTATGACGCATAGGCGTTTACGCATGCACGTAAGACCTTTATGGCTGCGAATATGCGTGTGCGCATGCGCATAATACATTTACGCATGCGCGTTTAATGTATAACGGACGGTATAAGCTAAGCTAAAATTATCTTAACTGATTCTAAGGCATTTTAGTTAATGTAGCAAACTGCGTGCTCCCTATTCTTCTAATTTGATCTAGCTTATTATTTTTTGCAGACTGTTATTATTACGGTAATTTTATAAAAATTAAGCTTGAACTTTCCAATTATATTGAAAAGAGTTTCCAGATTCTGGAGCTGCCAAAGGATCTACAAAGTGAAAGAATACTTCGATGTCCATCAAACAAAAAGTGGAATAGCTGCAAAAAAGGGGATAAAGCACCTTTGCTTTTCTAACCATTCCGAAATCTGTTTATCGATTTCACGCTGCTCTGTGGGGGGGGGGGACATCGCCGCCTGCAGTGAACTGGAAGTTGATATGTCAGCACTATCCTTATCTTCAGGGCAGATGTTTTTATTTTATTCGGCTTAAAATTCCTTACTAAATGTAGTATTTCATCTCGATGTATTCCCATCTTTGATACAATTTAAATCAATTCCTCGTCATTATAAATATCACGAATACACATCAAATAGTTTTCTGTTGCAATTTCTAATTTTGACTATGTGTAATGTATGCTTTACGCATGCGCACTTTGAAAGAAATGTTTAATAAAGTAAACAAATAAATATTAAGCTTTTTTTTGTAAATTTTGATACCCTTTAGATCATAATTGCTCTTTATTTCATAAATTACGGTTTCATATTTTTTATTTTATAATTTCTGCATGCCATCTTACCAGATTTAAACTGAGGATACATAATCCAGAAAAACCGATAATCCGGAATCGCCGAAGTTCCGACAAGTCCGGATTAAAGAATTTTGACTGTATATATTTAATAGAAATCCTAGTTTTTTCCTTTTATTCATAAAAATTCTTTTTCTCAACTTATTTGTAATCTAATGTTATTTTTCTATGTTTTATATTATTTTCAAGTATTCTGTTTGAATTTGCTTATCTAAGTTGCCTTTTATATGTACTTTTTAGTGATATTACCATGGTGTGCTGCAAATGCAGAGTTTCAGCCTGGATCAAAATTATTAGCTTACATAAAAAGCAATCCTGGTAATCATATTATTATCTATACCTTCTGTGTAAAGTGGATATCATTATAGTGTTGTTATGAATTGTATAAAATATCTTTAAAAGTTATTTTAGTAGAAAAATTTCTGGCATAGACAAAATACTTATTTAAAGTAAAAGAATCTGCCTTTATGAATAAAGGATAAAAATATTTTTAAATAAATAAATAACACATATGTAATAAACCCTCGGTTTAAAGAACTAATTGGGATTAAGGGTGTCTTTAAAATTATAAATCTGTCAGATTGTAAAATGTGTTATAAACGTATTAAAATTAGGATATTGCACTGGAAAATTACACTGGAGGCTTTCCTCCTCTCCGAACATTTTTGATAATGGTCATTTTTGGCAATGGTATTTTGACAATACTACAGTTTTCACTGTCTTTAACAAAATCTTGGAATTCGTTTTCTGCACGCAAAGAGTATAGTGTGGCTTGCCTAAAGATATCTTGTGCCCCTTTTTTCCATCATATTGTAAGATTTTGAGGTAGAAGTTGTGTGCGATGCTGAGTTTGTCCAGTGCTGTCTTTCTCTTTTCTTTTTTTATTTTAAAAGTGAAAATATGTTGCTGTGAACATTAGACGTTATAGTATTAGACGTTAGTGCAAGAAACCAAGAGGAGTATCTTGTATGGAAGAAGAAGAAAGTAAAAAAACAAATCAAATAAGCAGCACTGGATGTATTATTGAAAGAGTCATAAAGACGCCCCAAAATTTTTTTCTTTCCAAAATTACTAACAAGTTGAATGCTGTCTAAAATTATTGAGGATTTTGTTACTTAAGGAGAGTGTTTATAAATAGGAACTACCAAAATTATTTAAAATTTAAATTATTCATAAGTTAGGAGATACAAAAAGGAACTTAAAAATGTCTTATTCTGTATGTTTAATATTTGCTTCCTGCCTATGAAGACCTCCATAAAATGAAGAAAAAATAAATTATTTCGCTCACTTTTCTCTGAGGGGGCAAAAAAGTCTGCTATTACAATCTGCATTTCTTGCAAGAACTTGTTAAATTTTATCCTGAATTTTTAGGAATAACAACATATTTCATTTTCTATTTCATACTTTATTAGAAGCCCTTTTTTTAATCATTAGATAAAAAAAGCATCCTCAAATATATATATATATTTTAGACATTGGTTTTACTTTGTTATCATTATAGTGTTATTTCATGAATCAATAAATCAGTGTTAACAGATAAAAATTGGTAACTTTTTGTAATTTCATTCTATGATTGAAAAGTGTGCTTACATTTCTGTACAACAGTGCATTTATGTATTACAATAGACTTAATAATAAGTGTATTGCTTCTAAATGATTGCTAATAGCAGTTGATATCATAATTCATCAGATTAAGAACATAGAGTTTGAATGTTGTAATTTGAAATTTTGTTTCCATGTCATTATTTTCTTTTGATTAATTCCTCTGTACTCCATTTAAAATATTAGATTATTCGTGTGTCCATAGTTCAATTGCGAATATAATAAGTTAAAAGAAATATAAATGAAATATAAATATGACACTCCAGAGGTTAGAAATTCTATTATGGAAAATGTTACCATGGAAAAATACAATCCTGTAAATGTCTGTATATTTTCATAAATACTGTAGCAATAATATATATTCTTAAATACTTTTCTAAAACTACCGTATTTGACGGCATATAAGACCCACCCTTATTTAGACGGCCACACACAAGGAAAAAAGTTTCAATAGCTTGGTTTCTTTTAGTTCTCACGTTTCGTAAAAGCCAAATAAACAATCATTGAATGCAATTACCTTCACATATTAGACTGTGTCCTTCCCGTATAAGACACAGGTAACTTTTTTGAGACCAAGTTTAGGAAAAAAAGTGCGTCTTATATGCCGTCAAATACGGTAACTAGTTTTTAAATCATGAAAGCAAAAGAATTATGCACATTGGATTGTAAATTATAAGCATTTCTAAATTTTATCTGAAAAATATGCACCATATCCATAAAAATTCCTATGCAATTTTTTATTTTTGTAACCACTAGTCATATAGTTTTAACTTATGTAAAGCAAAAATATTTGCTTTAAATAAGGCAAAATTCATATAATGATATTTTAAATTTAAAAAAAAATCAATTTATAAAAATCTGGCATTTTGTTTGCTCTGATCCCTGTAGTTGTATTTAGTAAAAGTTCATTCTAATTCTAAAAAATGAATCACAAAAGGTATGACAAAAAGTGACTGTGGTGTTTAATATTAAAGTTTGAAATCATATTTTATGAAAATTCACGACATAAATTAAAGAGTGAAATATTTAAATTTGTATGTGACTAAAAATGAAATGTCAGTCTAGAAGGAAGTTTTTGAAGTTAATAAATTTTGAAAAGTGTTGATATGAGACTACCATAAAACGTTTTCATCAGTATATGTAAAAACATATCTGAAAAATCAAAATGGAGATCTTATTTACAGACTTGCAGAATTTGTATTCTAAAACATTGTCATGCTTCAAAGGTTGGCATATAGCCAGTTTGTAACTCTACTTACATATAAATCAAAAAAAAAGAAATGTTTTTTTTTTTTTTTTTTTTTTTTTTTTTTTTAAATGTAGTTTTTTAGATTGTAATACTAAAGTAATAAAACTGTAGGGAATTTTTATTAAGATTTTTAGCATCTGAAAATTACTTTCATGAAATTGATTTTGGCATATGAAAGTAACAAAATTATCAATTAAAGAATGTTACATAGTAGTTAATCACAAAAGAATATTACTGTATGATATTAAACAATGGGGAAACTCTAAAATTATCTGATTTTTAACCAGTCCTTCAAAGAATGTAGTAAGATTCGTTTTAACATTGAAAAATCTGAAAGAATCCGAAATTTTGAAGTTAAATATCTCAGTTAATTTTTTATTCCAATATGGAATCAAACTTTTTGTTTTGTTTTTGTTTGAAATCAAACTTTTTTGAATACATATAAACTTCTATTAAATATAACTATATAGATTTAAGAACCATACAAAATTTAGATTTTGTGTTTTTTTACAAAACTGAATTTTTTTTAATTAAAAAATACTAACATTTGTGTTATTTAAAACAGTTTTGTAATTATAGGTTATGATCATTGTTTGCAAAAATAAAGGAAGTGTCAAAACTTAGGGCCATAGTATGCGATGAAAAAATATTGTACCTTAGAATAAAAAAAGGTTTATTACGTGAAATTTTTTATACATATCTATATTTAAAGTATAATTATGTAATGTGTGCCTTAATATTCATTTCTTTTTTATCAGTGTGTCCTGAAGTAGAGCTAACTGAAAGAGAGGGAATTATATCTAGCCCATTTTATCCCGACATTTATCCAAAACACATATCATGTGGCTGGCATATACGAGGAAATATTGGAGATGTTATAACTGTGATGTAAGTTCAAACGTGATTTTTTTTTAATTAATCAAAATGAAAAAATAATTTTTTAAAATTGGTAGTTTATTATTTGAAATTACAATAAGTAGGAGTGACCGAGTTTAAAAATTTTTAAATTATCAAAAGAAGGTCTTGCAATTAAATGCCTTATAAATGTAACAACTGTTCTTCTAAATTGTACTCTTTCTTGTTATCAGTGGTGTAGCTAGGGTAAGGCTAGTGGGGACATCTGTCCCCAGATGCAGTACCCCAGGGGGCACCAAATTGATATTAAGAAATTTTAGAATTAAACGTTTTCCATATTTGTCACACAGAAGGGGGCACAAAATCTTCAGTCGTTCTCGGGCATGGGGCCAAATTTGTGCAATCTCTTATATTTTTTAAAACAAAAACAAATCTTTTTACATGGGGAGAACAACAGTTCCATTCTCCCCATGTACAAGGTGTCCCTCAAGTCCTGTAATCAATTCATATAATTTATGTGTCCTGTCTATATGCCTGCTATTCTTCATTCTTGCTGTGTAATATATTGCGACATCATGTTTCTCAACATAGCAAGAGTTATTGTTCCAAATACCACAGTAAATGGCTGCCAACAATAAATGGCTTATATTGTTGTCACAGTATTCTTTATGTATTCCCAAAGAGAGTTATCACACATTGTCAAGTCTGGACTTCTTGCAGACCATTTTGTGGGCACTGGGGATGTGTTAGAGCCATGTCTTATTCCCTTGTGAGGAAAAGTGTTGTTGAGATCACCCTGAATACAAAGGGCATAGCGAGCTGGACCTTCGTCTTGTTGAAACCAAATCTCCTCTATGTTTCCAAGTTCAGCGAGTCTTGATATAAACCATTGTTGTAACTTTCTGTGATGCGAGATATGGTTTACTGTGCCATCAAAGGAATATGGTCTAATAACATGTTGCTTATTAAGTGCTGTTCACATAGGCAATCCTTAATGAGTGTTGAATTCAAGTTCCTAATAATAATGAGTATTCTCCTTAGCCCCAAAATAAACATTTCATGGCTTACTCAAACAGGGAATTGCATTCTCATCCATAAACATCACTTTTCATTGACAAAAGATCATACAGATGGTTCACAGTTACTAATTATGTGCCACTTTTGTATTTTTTCTATCAACATCACTCAATTCATTCAGAAAAGTAGTTTGCCATTTTTGTATCCAAGTTTCTCATAAAGATTTGTATGTTTTTCAGGGATTTTTGTCATTGTCAATTTTAATGGTGAGTTCAGTAATTATTGTTCCACATCAGCACATCTCCGCATTTCAACCATTTATGGGCTTAAATCAGCCATTGTCTAGAAAAGAACAGAAATCATATTTATAACATATGCAGGGATAATTGAATAGTATTATATAATAACATATGTAGGAGGAACAGTGCTATATTGAGAAAATTCTCAAAGAACATGGCATTGCATAATATTTTGAATATTAATTCTTAAAATATTATCTTTATCTTTAAATGTAACAAAAGTCAAAGATTTTACATCAGATAAATAATAATTTTGATCTAAATGAATCAAATACTTTTCAAAGTTTTTAAGTTAAAAAAAAGGAAAGTACAGGGTTTTTTTACACTTTATATGAGTTCATCAGCAATTATTTACAAATCTTAAAACACAAGCAAACACTTGATTTAATTTATAATTTGATATATTGTTTAGATTCCAAAGGCTTGCGTCTTTTGCCAAAGCATAAATCGCCATTTTAATCTTTTTTCCTTCTACATTTACTTCTTTAGGCTGACTATCAATTTCTTCAACATTACGGATTTTCCTTAAGCCTCAAAGCCCCCCCCCCAATCAGGATGCAATCATGCCCCAAGGAGAACAGCCACGCGACAGTAAATCAGCAGCATTCACTTTTTTCTGGAACATGTTTCCATGTTGAGGATTTGTTAACTGACGAATTTCTTTAACTTTGTTGGTCTGGAAAACTGACCAATTTCCTAGCTCTTTTATCTACCAAATAGTTGTAGTAGAATCAGAGCAAAGTATTATTTTAAGATCTGGTAGAACAAGGGCTTACTGGAATTCACAAGCTTAGCACAAGCCATCAACTCCAATCATGGTATACCCAGGGGTTTGAGACGAGTTATTGTAGATTACACTTGGGGAGGGAGAATATAAAAAATTCTCTGTCTTTGGGTGCAACAGATAACATAAAAAATACCTTTTCAATGTCAGCTATTATACCAGTTCGATATATTCTAAAATGATCAAAAATATCAGATAGTGTTTCTGTAAGATTAACTTCTTTAAATAAATTATCATTTAAAGAGGGTGGTAAAAGTATATTTAAGTGTACCCCTTGATGATTTTTGGTGGTACATGGATACCGAGTTTGTGCAATTCTTTGTTATTTTGTTAAAATCACTGCTACACAAACCCAAAATAACAAAACAAAGAATTGTACAAACTTGATATCCATGTACACATTGACCTATTTTCACTAAAAAAAATCCCAGAATTGCATAAAAATGGCATTGTGCACTTCTTTGAGTTTGTACATGTACACATCGATATATTTTCACTTAAAAAGTCAAAGGAGCACTCAATTCTACAGTAGAGGCAGACAGAAAATGCATAATCTCAATAAACTACATTTTAAACCAAACAATAAAATAACATAAAAAAGGAAAAACCTGTTATGCATATAAGCACTACACAAAGAAAATATCCACTTACCTTATTTAGAAATTCCTTCGTCTTCAGTTTTCGGCACACAAAATTCCTTAACAGCATCCAAAAATTATTTGAACTCGAATCCGTATATCGGTGTCACCACATAAGTTCACAAAAATAAGAGTCAAAAATATCATACGTAGTTCCAGACTGTCTGGAAAATGGCTACTAAGTAAATCTTCATATACACGCTAGTGAATTAATGCAATTTTTCCCTTTCGTTCCAAATCGTACAGAAACTTCAAATTAATCTTACTACATTCAGCCATTCTACCGTCTAAACAATGAAACAAGCAATGTATGTCCTAACAACACACACCACAAAAGCCTTTACAAAACATCCCATGATTGAAAATTTCCCGGAATAATGCACACGATTATGTCATAACATGTCATAACGATTATGTCAGGATTTCCATAACATTCAAGTACTCAGTTTACCATAAATGAAACAACTTCACGATAATACAAGAAGCTAAAGTCAACTCGAACCAAGAGGGTTTCTATTTCTGAGAACTAGAAGCATCATAAACTGGGTGAATTTTTGAAGTTTTACTATCTAATTTAATCACTGGCCTATGAGGTAAATAGTGGCATTCATTATCCAATTCAGTTTCCGGTATGCTTTTGATGATAATTAATCACTTTTTTATGCCTCTTCTAGGTTAGTGCTTTATTATCGAATAAATATGTGGAATGGCACTTTCAATGCAATTTTAGTTTGTAGCTCCCATCAGAAACAATTTTTTATTTTTTCTTCAAAGCTGTCTTTCTCCTTAACAATTTGGGATGAATTAGCTATCCTAGAATTTCAAGTTTCCATAATGCACTCAAAGGAATATTCGTAACATGCATAGATAAAGTAGTTAAAATGGTAATGCTTGCGCATGAATTCTGTTTCCCATTTGCCATCTACCCAAGTTTAGTTTCCATGCCTTTTAGCTCTGAATCTTGCTCAGCTAAACTCCTAGTCAGCAATTTTCCCAAAATATCAGCTACAGTCAAAAGGTCAGTCTCACTTTTCTCATAAAAAGAATCTGTTTTATTTCATTTTAAGTTAAAATTTAATTTTCTTTCTTGAAATAAATCTGCATATCTTTATAACTAAAAGGACTTCAAAATTATAAGTATATAACTTTCTTAAGTCACCGACAAAAAATATGTCGTGTTCCTTTGGTTTTCTTTCAGGTTGGTTGGTTTATTGAGATTACGTATTATTGTTTATTGAGATTACAGTAAAGCACACTAGGGCTATCTGCCTAAGGGGAGGGATGCCTTTGTGGAGGACTTTCTAAGGGAAACTGGCTCGTATACACGTTGCGCATGGGGAAAACCACGAAAACGCCCATGCAGCCAGCCCGTTCGTGAAATTTGAACCTCTGACCGAACCACCAGTGTTCAGCGACTTTACCGCTTGGTCGCTGTTAGGCAGGTTTTCTTTCAGTAATATAACTCTGTTGGCTACCCTAAATTAAATTGCATAAAGCATGAATCTTGTGCTCTTAACCTTGGGAGTTTCTGTTGTGCATTTAAAACAGTCAGATCCGTCTCTAGGGAATAATTCGACCTTCAGTGTTCTAGCTTTGAAAATACCCTCCTACCAAAGGCACTATGTTCTTATTCTGAGAACAGAAAAACTGAAATTTAATTCATGGGTTCACATCCACCCTATGCAGGGTGTTTTTGAAAATCCAAGAAGACAAAAGTCATTCCAAAAATCTGAAACCACTTTATTGAACTGCATGAAAGAACATACAAGGGCAGACACAAAAACCAAAATGTTCTCTTGTGTTTGAAACTAAAGACCAGTTCTGATTCTCATGCATTCTAGAAGCTGATGTCACCATACCTCGGTTTCAATTCATTTTAGTTTGCAACAAGTGTATAAGAAACTAGACAAGAAAAAAAGGTTTCATTCATTATAAGCTGAATACATTATAGTGGGGTTTGACTGTTCTTATTTTTAATATTAAATTACTTAATCTTTAAAGTAATTATCTTAAAAATAAATTTAAATTTTATTTACTTTAATATTATTATTACAGTTTGAAAAGAATCAATGAATAAACCTGTTTTGTGATATTTTGAAAATTAAACTTAGTTTTGAAGGAAAGGACTTCCTCTTTTAGCTTTGGAACTGAAAATTTGTAATCAAATTTCATTTTTATAGAATTTTATTTTATGTCCTTTTATGAGAGACTGATATGCATATATATTGTTTGGAGTGTTATGGGAGATTAATATGTCATGAGATTAATCTGCATGAATTTTCAGAATGTTTTTACCCTCTTCAAATCTTTCATAATGTACAGTTTTTTGTTATTTTCTTAACTTACAAAATAAGTTTTTTATGCGTAAGAATTTTTTTAGGTAAAGTAAGTATTAAGGGTTGGTTATAATAATATCATGGTCTTAATTGGAAAATCTATTTTTGTGATGACATTAGTTTTGAATAATGTATTGCTAGTAATTTTTTAATTAAAAATATTTCAAAATTATTTGTATTTATGATAGGAGATATGCAATAACTTTAATAATTCCATATTTTGATTAATTTTATTGGCATATGTGCAATGATATTTCTTCCCCCTTCCAGTTATAAATTTCTTTAGATCTTTCATACATTGTTTCAATTTATATTTTAATTGAAAATATTATCTTTAATGCAATAGTAAAATCAGTTGTAAAACAGTGAAAATATTATATTGAAAGTTATGCATCATATTTTGAACTGAATATTGAATATGTTCAGCAATCTCTGAAAAATTATTACATTTCATTTAACATTTTAGAACAAGGAAATAATTTTCACTGGGCATTTCATTTTTTTCCCTCCTCTTTGGTAGGTTTGATGATGTGGATATAGAGGAAAGTTGTTGCTGTAATGTTAGGCCATGTTGCATGTTCAATTGGATTAAAATTGGACCTCTCATTGATGGCTCAGAGGGGCAGTTTTGTGGAAAAGGAGTTCAATATCATAATGCGATAATTTCTAGCACTCATAAATTATGGATAAAATTTCATATATCAAAGTTCACTAGGGGTGGAAGAGGATTTCGATTTCACTATAAAATCAGTATGTATTTTTTTTTTTGTGTGTGTGTGTGTGTGTGTGTAAATATTGTAAATTTAGATTTTATAACAGTATTTAATCAAGGTATTTTCATTAGTAGATAAAAATATGTCTTCTTTTTTAAAGTAGAACCAAAGTAAGTTTTTTTTTTTTTTTTTAATGTATCTGTCTTATCTTTTTCCGACTGTTAAATGATTTCACTGTTGCCAAAGAAAACGGTCAGATGTTCATAGACATCAAATAAGTTAATATTTTGATTCTGTGTTTATATTTCAATACCATTTTTTTATTATTATTACTAGTAATGACCATTTTTTTTTTAACCATAGCTGCCGTATTTGTTTACATTTGAAACTTAGCAGACTAGTGAATTCAGTTTTCGCACATTCAGTGTCTGCTGAGTGGGACCAAAAATAAACTTTCAGTTTTGTGCACTGAAAAACCTGTCATCTTGCCTGCTTGCCGAATTGCTTGTTTTTGTGTAGAAACTCTAATTTTAATAGGAAAAAAAAAAAAAAAATTAACTGTATTTTATATTTTTAAATTTTTGATAAAGATATTTTGAAGTTTTATGTATTTTTGCCTTACCACAAAGTGAGAACTGAAATTATTGAATGAGAACTGTATTTCTAATGAAATTTGAGGAAATAAGTTTAAATGAAATGCAGCAAAAAACGTGTATAATTTAATATTCCGTGCAAAGAAGTCATGTGGTGTACACATCAGATTTTTTTTTCTTTCAATGCAGGCACTATACCTTGCCCACTACTAATGCCAGAAGCAGTAGTCACTTTATTATGCAGTCATCTAATAGGTAGGCTGCCATTACCTCCTGTGAAGAGACAAACACCGTACCTTCTCCGGGATTCAAACTTGGAGCCTTCGGTATGGCTGTTAGAGTCACTAACCACTTTCCCGTTTGTGCAAAAAATAGATTCTGTAAATGATATTCATAACCCAATATATATAATATTTAGTGCAGTTTGATTTAGTTTAGATTTAGTATGCAGATGAGCCATATATGCAAGAAATAGGTGTAATTATAATAAATAACCAATGCAGGAAATACAGTAATTGTAATAAACAAGTATAATTCAGGCTTAACTTCTGTAGCACATAATAGAAGAAAGGCAAAATTTAGCAGAACAACATGTCTTTAGTCACCAGTCTCATGACCTATTGTCAGTAGTGTATAGCAGATGGTAACTAGGCATTAAGCTATACTTAAACAAGATAACTACGCGAAAGCTTTAGTATGGTTCTAAGTGCTGGAAAAATTGCTACCAATAGTGAAAATAGTGATAAAGAGGTTGCTGAGAATGAAAATATTTTGATTGACAGTTTAGTGGGAATTCTCAATTTGGCAATGACAGGAACTTTGTAACTGAACAAAAAATTATCTGAATTTAAATAATTTGCATTGAGAGAAGTGTTTAATTAACCTTCCTAGTGGCCGAGACCCTCAACTAAAATCTCTTCATCTCAAGTCTTGAAAAGAAACCAGATTCTACTATTTCTTCTGCCCATTCTGTATCCAGATTAAAGCTAAAAGCGGCAGATGTTTCGCTGTCTTTAGTTGCTTTCCCCCCACTCAAATGACTGTCGTTCAGCGGGGCGTATTGACGTGTCCATGTCCTTTTGTCCAGCAGGCTCCCGTTATGGCAAGAAAGATTTAATTGAATGTATACCAGATTTTAGTGGTTATCGCCGTGTTGGCTGCGTAACTAAGCATATTTTAAACAGCGTACGTACTTTATGCAATATGTGTTTGAAATTGATATTGCTTTAACGTTTTTAGTTTTTTTATTTGGAAAATTATTTACTTTTATTTCTCCGTGTTTTACTAAAATATTTCACAAAATCTGCATAAAAATTGTAGTCATTCCTCACGCAAAAATTTATAGAAAATTACGTTTTGATTCCACCATTTGTATTATGTAGCACTCATTTGTATTACGTAGCATTTGTATTATGTACGTATTACTCATTTGTATTACGTAGCAAGAAGAAGAATAGAACCTAATAATTAGGCCCAGAGAAAAGATACGGGTCATCAAAATTTTCTACTCATCGCATTATAACAAATAAAAACGTACACAATTTATGTACTAAATAAAATGCATTTACGTTAGCCTATAGTTTAATAAACAACTAATTTTACTTATTTTATCTTTTAATTACTTCAATTTATATTCTAATCAATAATCTTTTCTGAATGATTAACATGAATATTTTCCAACGACATTGACTTGAATTTACTAAATCTATTTGAGATGAATTTGAATTTCAAAAAATGTTTCTTTACATGGTAACTTTGAACATTGATCACAACGAATTTATATGATAGAAATATTAAATTAAAATTTTTCCTATACCATTCAGTTTTTACAAGTTCTGCATTTTTCTTTTTTTCCTACCAAAATCTTAACTTTAATTCTCAGCTTCCTATTCATCGTTATTATAAATACTTTTTTTAGATAAAAATAAAATATTCTTTGCTACATTAAGACCCTCAATGCCTTCCCTCCCGTCGCTGGAGAGATTTGCGGAAAGAAAACTGTGTCATGAAGTAGAGTGCAATGATAAAAAATCGTCTAAAGTGAAAAGCCGCCACATAAATGAACTCTTTTCAGATAAACTATATTACTATCTAGATTTTTGAATGATTTTATTTATTTAAAAATTCCTTTTCCATATTAAAAGTTTATAATGATGATTTTAAATCATGTACTGAAAAAACGATAAATTACTTGAAATTTTTCTAAATTCGTACATACGCACAGAAAACTTCCAAAATATAATTTTTTTTCCACTTTCTTTTATTAATGCTTTAAGTATTTCTAACTTAAAATGAAAAAGTTAAGACTAAAACTATCGTGCTGAATAAACGTAGAACTGAGAAGAATTTCTTGCCTAATTTAGTGCACTGAAAAAAATCCACAATTAAAATTCAGTTTTAAGATGCTGTATTTTCAAAGTTAAAACTGTTTTTAAAACATTTCCCTAAAGAAGCGTCTTTTTTTGTTATAAATTCTAGGAACACATTCTTGAACAGAAATATGTTTTCAGAATCAAATTAAAATGCTTTCAAATAAGTGCATCTTGAATCCTGTTAGATAAAAATATATTACATTAAATAAGAAATGATTTTTTCTCTGTACAATGTTAAAGCTAATTCTCTCCCATTCTTAGTTGTCTCTGCTATTCCTATGCTCCAAGACATCTGTAAATAATTAGAGAAGATAAATGTGTAGCTGACTTAGACAAATCATAGAGTGAATGTCAGTTCGGGTTTACTTCACTGTTATTTGTCAGTACTTGTATTAGGCATAAATTTCAACAGTTAGAAGGCAAAGGTTCGGCATTACCTTCACAGTTAGTTTGCAGAGATTTGTTTTTGTCAATAAGATGAAAACAGCAATCACGACGTGGACGAATCCAATTTAAAATTTAGAGGACTGCGTCCTCTGAACGCATTGAGGAAGGGGAAAAGTTACAGTAATATTTTTTTAATTTACAGAGCCTACAGCTAAAAAGATAGTGGGGGAAAATACGTGAGGATATAATAATCTATCGATTTCTAGAGCAATCTTGAGCAGGCAAATTGTAGTAAATCTGTTTCGTGCCTGAACAAGAAGGTCTTATGCCAGTTCGCTAAAAATTGATAAATGTTTACTTAAAATCTACGCGAATTTAAAGTTTACTTTTTTACAAATTTTAACTATTATATAGGCATGTTTCTCTTATTAATTTGCTATAGTGAAAATTAAAAAATATGATACTTGAAATCATGCTCTGTGTGGAAATTTACACATACATGCATATGTATATATATACATAAAATCTTTAATATGCAAGTTTTATCAAAATGCATTGAAAAATTAAAAAATAATTCTTAAATTATCCCAACAGTTCTGATCATATGATACTAAAGTCAAAATCATACAACACTTTTCAAAGGATCCTTGTCCTCATTATTTTTAAACACTTATAATTTAAAACACATATACTTTAACATATATATTTTGAACTTTATGTAAATTCTTTTATTTAATTTCGTTTCCTTACCCAGGATAGCTATAGCTTAAAATTTCAATTCAACAAGAAAAGCGATTTTTCCACTGTATAGCATGAATGGGAGTTAATTTTCCTTAAAAGGTCCTCTATGAAGGCATCCCTTCCCTTAGGTATGTAGCCTTTGTTTGCATCAAATCCAATCAAGTGAACAATCAAGAATGAAAAAAAATTTCTGTTTCGTTAAATCACGTGATCTGCGGAGTAGGGGCTCCACTTGTGGTCGAGAAGTAAACAGCTGTATATACTGGTAGTTCGATCTAGGTTATTGCGCAGAAGAGCGGGTTGTTATTATATAGACCATTTTGTGGCTTTCTGCTTGTGTAATGTGAATACGACCTAGTTTCGCTGAGCAAGTCGTCCTTGAAAATATACCTTCCCTTATGGACAGCCGTCGTGTGCTTTGTCATATCCAAATACCCCTGACCTGATAAAACCACTAGCTACATTTTAAACCGAGGCGTCCAATGACGTTCTGAAAAACTGAGTAATTAAAAAGATTTTTTAATACGTTTCATTTTGCATCTTTTAATTTCCTACACTTTTGTTCGTTTTGTAATTTGAAGCACCTCCATGTCTTTTTAAATCTAATAATGTGGTTAGAAACACAAAGAAAAATTTGAACCTTATGGACCCACACTGATTTTTCTGTCAGAATAAAAATACCAAATGGGAAAACTCGTATTCGGTGAAATATTGTACTAGCGTTGCAAAAACGACTCTGCAGAAGCAACTGAAATTGGCAAAGCAAATCAGAAATTTATTTCAAAATTTGACTCAGTCAAAAAAGTTCTTAACTGCATAATTCTTAACCTTCAGCTCTTAACTACACATTATACAAATAATTTAATGGAATTCGATAAATATACCTCAAAAAGGGAGAACTCTCGAATGATGTACTTTTCTAGCTTTTCTTTTTTGAGTAAGTAAAGAAGAAAACGAGAACTTTACTATGGAAATGATATATATAATGAATGGATATTTAATAATTGAAAATGCTCGATTGATTGAGCGAAAATTGCACACATGGAGTTCATGATTACCATAAATTTACTTGCAACGCTGAATGAGAATGATTACAAATAAAGTGAAATTCTTGATGTTTCCTGAACATTTTATAATATAACTAACATTGTACAGTTTTATATGCAGAACCTGAAGTACTGTTCTGTTACATAGAATTATTCTTGGTGGCAAGTATTGTATGATTATTTCCACCATACGTAAATTTCATTCTCATTGTGGCATAAATTTATATCTGCAATTCTATTCAACATTTAATTTAAAAACTGGAAGGAGTATCTAAAGTATGGTCATCAGAAATGCAACAGAATATTATAAATGTAGTTTCATGATAGTAATTTATTTCAAAAACCAAAATCTGCTTTTGGTATTTCGTATTATTTTATCATAGCAACAATCAAAATGTTTTGAAATGCTTTTAGAAAATTTAACGCTTTTGGAATAAGATAGCTCAAATATTTTTTATCCATTTTTAGTGTATAGACTATACCTTTTCCAAAATTAATTAAAATCTTTATTCATCTACTTTTTAAAATTTTTATGTTTTTGAATGCGCACTCATCGTTCAGTGGATAATACTTTTAATGGATGGACAACAAGAGTCATCCGAAACTCTAAAACGAACGACCCGTAAAAATTTTAAAATATGCCATTATACGAATGATTGATATTTTATCGTAAATTATTATTCAGTGATTGATTTAAGAAAATAATAATTTAATATGATTAAATTTGATTGAAATTGAACTAAGGATTTACATCTTCTGTATTACACACTTTTAGACAAC